TAATAATAATAATAATAATAATAATAATAATAATAATAATAATAATAATAATAATAATAATAGAATAATAATAATAATAATAATAATAATAATAATAATAATAATAATAATAATAATAATAATAATAATAATAATGATAATAATAATAACAATAATAATAATAATGATAATGATAGTAATAATAATAGTAATGTTATCGAAAGAAAGAGATATTTTCCATTAGTACAATTTCAACAGTTTCACTTTGAAGAAGTTTTTGCTGCCTCCAAGCTATATTGCTTTACCTTATTATGCATATTACCGCGATTGTTCCATCGATTTCGCTGGTTCAACATCCTCTACCATCAATTCAAAATTAACCATTCCCAATTTTGATATAATATCAATTTCAACATTTTGCGCATAAGCTCGACATTCAACCAATACAACTTTATTGCGTGGTAAGTTATCAAACTTTATCATTGCCTGAAAGAAAAAAGAGAAGAAATTTTGACTAAGTCCCTGTTTTTCACTTTTTTTCTTTGATTTCATGTTTTCATATTAATTCTTACCCTAAAATATTTCATTAGGGATAATAATATATTTTACTTTACCTCAGTTAATAGCGTTAACACTATTTCATTAAATCTAATTTTTTTTAAATTAATATAAAAAGCTAAATTTTTCCAAAGAAATTCATTATGACGGGAATTTTTCGTTTCCCTTATCTTTCCTTTCTAATTCTTCATACAGCTCATTTTTCCCCTCTGACAAAAAGACAGAAAAATCAATTCCAATTTGTAATCGTCTAAAGTGATTCCAAAAAACCTGCTCGGTGATTTTATAAAATTAGGTCATTTGAACAATTTATTAAATAATACATATCTCAGTAGTATGTGACATGATGATGATTTAGTAACAAAAATTTAGGATTATTCCTCAAAGTAAAATAAACTTACGAAAGGTTGCTGATAATTAGGCATAACAGCATATGGATAGTATTTACCATCAATACCCGCTTCCGGAATGTATGTCACATTTCCCAGATGTTCCTTATCGATATCACTCTACAATCAAAACATTCTTTCACATTGTTGCAACAAAATTTTTGAAGAATCAAGAAACAATTACTGCATGATGATTGTCATACGATCATCGAAATGTGATCATCCAAAGAAAGCTCATGAGGCTAATCATTCATTTCGTTTAATTTACTAATATTGATCAAATATAGGAAGAAAAAGAAGGAAATTGAAGAAGGACCGTTCCGTCGCATTTCAAGGTTACGAAATTTGGCTTGTATCGTTCTTTGATAATCTCAGGCACTGAATCAGGTGCGTAGTCGATTGGCATCCAACCAATCAATCGATTCAGAGTTAGAATTATGCAAGGTTTGCCTTCTGCGAAGCCATAATTAGTGTTTTTGCCACAACCAGCTCCACTAAATTTGCTCAGTTCAAAGCGGCACGACTGAAAGTAATCAAAATCATGTGGAAAGTTTAAATATATTTATCGGAATCTAATAGGGTAGATATCTCATGAAAAATTCTTTCAATTAATATCATTGTTGACAAAAAATAAAAAATAAAAATTTAACAAAGTATAAAACATTCGGTACATAAAATGTTCGAGAAAAAATGAGCAAAAACCTTGACAATGTCATCGCCAGGTAAATTTCCAGGACTAGCACTTCCACCCATGAAAAGTTGCGCATTGCTTTGATTACCAACACATTTACGGGTTGCGGTTAAATTGCTATACTTCGAAAGATATTTATCCATTGTGTCGACATATTTCTGATAGGATGATTTATCTCGTATGTTGAACCTAATTAGGGTCGAATCAGGATCATCCAAAAGCCAAGGTTGATAACCAACGCCTGAAATTTAAAAAAATCAACAAGAACAAGATTTTACTTTTTCTTTATGATAGTAGTCAATAAAATTAATGTAACTTATACATTACTGTAAATGCAAAGTAAAAAAAAAAAGGAACCTTAGTTAGGGAGAAAATACGATAATGGCCTAGAAAAATTCACATAAAAAAATGACCTCAAATTATATCAATTTCCAAATTCAAATGTCATTATACACCTTTTAATAATGCAATTATATAGTTTTTTTTTTTTGAAAAAAAAAGAAGACATACCGGGGTTTACACCAATAATCGTCCCTTTACCATAATAACGAGGAACTTTGTCATCCAATGTCGAAAGAAATATCGCTAAACAACCAATCCAAAATGCTATGAGTAATGAATAAAAGACCAAATAAAACGCCAATATTTGAACTGAAATGAAAAGAACATTAAATATCATATAATGAATAAAAATAAAACACATTGGAATTGAATTTTTGTTCACTAAAGACCAAAAGTTCGCTCTATTTGTTTTTTTTCTTTTTTCTTCCTCTTTCTGTGTAAATTAACACAATCGATAGCTAAAGGAATAGAATTCATTTGGATGATAAAATATTTTGATGAAAAACACTATGTCAACAATCATTTGAAGGAGCTATGCAAAATCCACGTATTTAACGCATAATTATCACATGATCAAAAAGTGCTGTTAATTTTTCTGATTTCTGTTGTAACAGCTGATATCAAAAAGATTCAAAAGCATAGATTGTTCAAATCATCACAACTGCCCGGGATACCACGGCTGGTGCACACACAATACACACACACACATACACACACACACACACACACACAGATACATACATGCATGTAAACAAATCGAATGAGCAAAATTTATAAATCATGTTAATACTTCGTGATTATTTGTGATGATAACTGATAAGAAATGATAACTAATTAATGCAACATTCATTAAATTGATAATATGCAAAAATAGAATTTAGAATTAAAAAAAAAGGAAAAAGAACAAACCCCATGATTTAGCTGTTCGTCCCAAGCATGTGCCCTTGTCTTTATTGAAAAGAAATTTTGAGAAAGTTTGATCACCCACCGCTCCGTTCGCCTTACCACGACCATTCATCAACTGTAAAAAAAGAAAAAAAGATCACAATAAGAAAATAAATAAATTACACAAAATTGATATTACAAATGTAATCGATTTCTCTCTTCTATATTTTAATATATATTTTGAGAAAAGAAAAAAGAAGGAAGAAATGATATGTAAAATGATCGAAAGAAAATCTATTGTTAGAAATTTGAATCATAACGATTTAGAAAAAATTTGAAATTTTTGTTAAAAATTCGTAAAATTTCAAAAATTTCTTTATCAACGAAAAAAAAATGACAAATGAAACAG